TGGCCCGTCCTCAAGCCCAGGGTCAAAGGGTGCCCAATCATAGAAAGCTAGATCAGCAAATGCCATCATCACGAGGGCCAATAACACCACTGGAACAGGAAGTGCGCAGAATTCAAGGACCAACCATCTTCTCAACGCTTGATGTGGTCCCCGCCTTCGGGACAATACCTGTGCATCCAAATGACCAGCATAAGCTAGCTTTCACCTTGAACAACAGACACTAAACGATCATGAGGTGCCCCGTCGGCTAGGCCAACTCACCAGCCGAAAGCAACACCCTCCTGAACAAAGCATATCCCGATGCTCATGTTAGAGGCAACCTCATCTACGTTGATGACATCTTTAATGAAAGTACCACCGTGTCTGGCCACTCAAAGGAGATAGACCATGGCCTACAACAGTTGACTGTGGCTAGCGCAAAGACTACCGCCTAGCAAGGTCTCTGAACTGAGCGGCTCCCTAAGGGGGTGCAACTACTCCAGACACGTCATTAAGAACTGTTCAAAGACTTCGCGACCCGTGACCACCCTGTCAAAAAGGGCTGTCCTTCTGTTTGACGGAAGGTCAACAGCTGTCCACGATTGAAGTGAGACAACGTCTGGGCATATGCAAGTAAGACACTCCTTGCGCCAGAAGGCAAATACTAAGACTGTGTAACAACATCGCTCTGCACGGTGGGTGCCATTTCAACAGCTATTCTCCAACTTCTTTGGAGCACTAAAACCATCATAGACACCTGCCACCAACCTGTCACGTTACTGAACAGTCAGCACATCCGGGATGGCATAAAGACTAACGCCAGTACGGCCATGCGGCCGATGGCCCCCTAGGGCCACTGTATTGACACTTGTTACACCTTAAGCCACAAATCCACGCTGGGTAACAGCATAGCTGTTTACCAAGACTGTACAACTGACAGACAATTTACAACGCTGTAGAGGAGGAACCCCAGCCACCTCTGCCAACCTGTCATTTAAGTACTTCCAAGTACTGGGATGAGAATGCGTGCCAAGGTATGCCCACAACCTGTGATGATGGATGCTCCCACAACCACCGCAGTATGCAGAAATGGCAGCCACCATTGTAACCCTTCAAAGCACAGCAGCCCATGACATCAGAGTGCACTTAGCTGCAGACTCCAACTTGCTAGACTCTGTTTCACGTTCCACCTCCCAGGGGGGAAACAAATGGCTTCAGAACTGCCCACCACAAGCCCGTGAAACGTCAACACTTTTTCTTCTTCCCAAGTAGGCGACCACAACACTGACAACCACATCATGGTCGTCTACAGAAGAAGATAAGAACAATTCAAACTTTCAGGCACTGACAAGGACCTGAATGACTGGACCGATGCCCTTACCAAGAAGGTGCATCACACGGTGGACCATGGTCACCACCCAACCAAAACCCCGAGATCTGGCAGCTGTAACCGGCAGCCAACAACCCTGCCTAGCCTAAGCTGCCACATTCAATCTCACCAGCCCGACAAATGTCGACAAACGACATTGCGACCACATAGGCGTCTGACACCTCACGTCAGACCAGGTTTATTTTTACCTTTACTTTGTCTCTTGTTGTTTTGTTTTGTTTCCACCACTCACCCCACCTACCACCCGATCCTTCTGTCTGACCTCAGCTTCAACACAGATGTCACTCAACACCTCCTACATCTTAAAAAACAGGTGTGTGTGAATCCTTTTTGAGTTGTCCCTGAAGACCCCACGACACCACAGTTCGTGCTGCCTCAGAGCCAGAGGGGGGTAATGCTAATGTACTGACCCTGCACACAGCAAAACATGCCCAGGGCGCTGATTCACCGAGCACCACAGCAACAGAGAAACCATCCTCTCATGATCAGACACCCAGATGGATCGGGCGGGACACTTCCATGGGCTCACAAGGAGCAACAATTTTTTTTTTGTGTTTTCCTCTCCTTCGCTTTCTCTTCCCCTTGAACTCATATGCCAGTACACCAAATGGGTAGAGTGTCTCTCAGCACCGACGACACAGCCCAGACCATGGCATATCTTCTGATGATGTAAACAACTTGGACAGAGGCACCCACCCTGCACTACCAACATCACACAGGAAGGGCAAAGACTCCTGGTTGTATACGCTCAGCTGCATAGCAGCCAACACTCAAACCTACGTATCACAACCAGAGTAACAAACACTGGGCCACAAGCCAGGAAAGGGCGTAGAGACCCTGCAACCGGTGTCACAGTGGAATGCCCAGCCAAGCACAGTCATCACAGACACCACCTACTCTCTCCCCTGTTCTCTCTCTCTCTCTCTCTCTCTCTCTCTCTTCCTTTCCTACACAGGATACAGCCACGATCCTGTACCTCAGTCTCACCAGAAGACCACTGCAACCTCACAACTATACTCCTCCCTGCGGAACAACTACCACTCCGTGCCTCCCGACAACAGGGAAGCACACATTAACAAGGGCCTCGCCATTCAATAAGATGCAAGCACCAGTGAACAAGTGCACCGCCATACTCCCACAAGCCTTTCAGCGGAAAGCTGGGAAAGGAAAGGAACGCCAAGGAGCTGCACCCACGTTGATCGAAATGAAACTCCGTCCAGCTGACTCAGGAACGGACATCGAGGGGCCCTCACTTCCTGCCCAACCAACAAGTTAAAGTTAGATCCCAACCAACCGGGTTTTCTCCGAACCACGTTGTCTGGGAAGAGGGGGACTGTAACATATTGTAACCTGCATTCTGGAGATAAACATTGCATTTAACATTCCAGAAAACAATCTGGGTGAATCGCCAGGACAAAAAATCACTTGGTGACGAAAAGTCTGGCTTGGTAATCCCTGGTGACATGTTAACAAGTCTGGGAGACTTCACAGAACCACTCTCTGCCTACTTCAAAAGAACGTGACAGATAAGATAAGAAAAGGAAAAAAACCTCTAGCCAACATTCTGCTCACAGACAAGACATTCCTCAAAATTAAACAAAGACATTTATAACCCAAATCTCTTGTTTAATTTCATTTAACTTTTGTAATGTGTACAATACCTGATATAGACTATACACAGTCACGCTTGCAGGCCTTTTTAAAAGCATCAATGATGTAAGGATATAGGAACTATGTGATGTACTTGTAGAGTGTTTGGTGTCAATAGAATGCCCTGGACATTTTATAACACATGATGCATAGATCGAGACCATAACTCGCATTGCTTTATTCTTTAAAGCCCTGTATTAAATGCCTGTCCGCATGCTTTAGGCGGGCGCTCAAATTTGCATACGAGCAGCCCAGAGACAAAGGAAGGTTCGCGCGCAAACTTTCCCCTGAACTCATTGGTCAGAATGCTGTACGGGTTGTCACGTGACCTGCAGGTATAAGCACACTTCCCCCCAAACATCTGAGCAGAAAGAGAACGTCCCAAAAGAAGAACATCATTGACGGTGGCCTTCGGGCCACACGTGGCTTCCTAAGCCGCATGGACTTTTTCCCGCCACGTTTTCTTTATTTTCCGGCAAAGTAAATTCAGTTTAAAGTTTGCGATCGTGTTCGTCCGAACTGCATTACAAACTCCACGCATCAAAGGACATCAAGAGTAGTTTTCATCACGACGGAAGAGAGACGCATAAAAGAGACCTCCAGACATGAAAAACCAGGTGATTTTAGTTATGCGATTAAGTTGTGCCCCTTTTATCAAAAAGGTGTTTTTTATAACCTTGGTGGTCCGTAATGGTGCGTGTGGAACTGAAAGTTTTGTCACTCTTTAATCTGAAATCTATATTTTCTAGCTTTACTATTTCTCTTTGCTGTTACACGTTCTATAGACCCGATATCTCCACGTGGTTTACCTTTGTTTTGTGTTTAATGTATGTTTGTGCGTTTGTTTGTTCGTTACGTCTGACTAGTCAATAAATTCCATTATAATCAAATGAATTGTATTGTTTGCCTCACGAGAAAATGTCACTGAAATACAGATTCCCCTGCCTTGCTATTATAAGTTGTTTAAAACTTTTGAATGATTAATCTACTTCACAAGAAGTAGCAATTAAATTCCCTTTTTCTAAATGAATAAATTACAGTGTCCGCTCGGAAGAGCGGCGGCTCTGCTTGTGTTCGTTTGGTCAAGTTAACAATAAATTGATCCGGAATATTAATGATTAATAATAATTCGTTATTGTTGATAATTAATATTCATAATCTGGGAATCCGCTCGGTCGCGCGAGCATGATCATTTACAATCATATGTTTGTTTGACCAAACTGACTGAAGCTTAAGCCGGAATATTAATAATTAAGAATAAACCGTTGTTGTTGATTATTAATATTCATAAAATGAGCTAATTTCATGCTACAATATATATATATATATGCCTGAAAGCCGTGCAATATTCTGCAATATCAAAACTCCTACAGCCTCTTTACCCTTTGTGTATTACTCCGCCCACGTACAGCCAGCAAAAAGCAGACACTACAGATCTAAAGTTTAAAAGATGCACGCTCAACTGTTTAACTGTCAGCTTATGATTTGAATCCAATGTGGAAGAAAGTATTTCCACATACAAAAGGGTTTTTGAAACCCTCCGTGTTTGATTTTGTTTTTATTTACACAATTATGCCATCAAACTGTTGCATAAACACAATATCACACGAGAAGCAGTGCGATATGGCTGTATATCGGCACTGACGGAGGCACTAAGGCACTCGGCCTGCAACCTCGTGCTAACGCAGGCCTCCCACCAGTGCCAATATACAGCCATATCGCATTGCTACTCGTGTGATACTGCTCATATATATATATATATATATATATATATATATAATTTAATCACTGTTGTTTTATTGCTCTTGTTTGTTGTACGGTGTCCTTGAGTTGCCAGAAAGGCACCTTTAAATAAAATTTATTATTATTATTACCTAATAAAGTGGCCAGTGATGTTTTTTGTCAGGTTGGTAGTTGATTACTGACCTGGATAGATGACTGGAAGTTTTAATAACAAAAAAAAAAAAAAAAAAACACCCACCTCACTGAAGATGTCCAGGCCTCTGGCTTTAGCATGCTTTCTGTCATCCCGGTGGAGTTTGTTGTCAAAGCCCTCAATGCTCTGGTGCAAGCAATCATACAGAGACCTCTCTGGGGCCTAAAATATGAGGGAAAACAGACAAATTTAGATTTAAAATGTGTATTTTGAAAATACCTGAACGTACATTATCAGCTCATATCATAATCATACTGTATATGCTAATTCAATGTTCCCTATTTAACTGTTCATAACACTGTTGCATTAGTTAATTATAATAAAAGAACCGCGATTTTACTTTTAGCCTACTGCAAAAAGCAGTTAAACCAAGCCAACCAGGGCTACACAACATAGTTTAACCATTAGTTAAACTATGTGTCAGACTATAAGACAAATGTATTGTAGGCCTATTTATATTTTAGAATTATTTGTTAGCAAAATCAAAATATTGTCTAACGTTAATGCGATGACATTCCTTGTTTTGCACTTTATAAAAGCTGCCGTGAGCAATATGCCACCTACCTTTATGCTACAGTTGAAATATCGCATTTCCTTTGGTTCAGTCCTTCTGGGTGGAATAAAGCTGAATACAGACAGAGTTGAAAGTGGTTTCGATTTGGCTTCGGATAAAACCTCCATTACAGCGGTCGCAATTTTATAGCCGTAGAGCTGAAGTAAATAGCTGCACACGGTGACAGCTCGGCGTCTGCGGTTGCTAAGGAACTTCTAGAAAACTCACTCCCGTCAAAGAGCTTATGGGAGAATGGTGATGATATGCCCTTTGCTGCAGTGTTGAAGTGATAAACAAACTATTATAAATCGACACGACAAATAAAAGCATCTGAATTGTTTTCCTATTTTAGTTATTTTAAAATGAGCATATTTAAAATTTTTTACTTATATTTTACATTTGTGTGCTTTTTTAAATTTGTGTTTATTTTCATATTAAAAATTAGTTTTATTGCGTCTAAATGTTTACCTCAATAAAAAAGCTATAATGGGTAACCGTGGCAATACAATTATATATATAATTTTTTCGGGCAGAAAGTGGCTGTTGCTTTAATTTGTTGGTTTAACCTTAGCCTGATTCTAAAACTAAAAAAATGACCCGATGTTTGACTGACGGTGTGGTGCACAGCTGTGGCTCATTAACCACCCGCCTATAAATATGAATCAGTAACCGCTCTCTGTACCATTGACGGCAACACAATTACTATGGTTTCTCTCAGGGTCTTTCTCAGCTGTAAGTTTTTATTTGTTTGACTCAGAAGCAGCTTGTAATGTTGAGTTTTTGCTAGTTTAAGCCACCTACAATTACATAGACCTACAGATCAGTGATTGGTCTTTGTTGGTTAAACTCGTTTAAACAGCATCAGAATTGATTAGTTCTGTTTTTTTTTTTTCTTTTTTCCAATGTGGGTGTTTTCTGCTCTTTCAGTGCTTTTGGGCTGTAGCCTATCTGCAGGTGTTACATTAAATCTAGCTCCTCTAGATACTGATGTGTCACCACGAACTAGTAAGTGTATTGTTACTGTCAATTGATTTGGTGCCTAACATGGTTCTGTGTTATAAGACTTTACAGCTCTCAGCTAATTGAGTTAAGTCAAACGATTGCACACTTGAGACTTTAGATAGTCCATGATCTCTCTCTCCCTCCAACTTCCATCTGAGTAATCTTTCTCATCCTTACAGAAACCATAGTGATCTGTAATGGTGACCGTGCGGTCTTGAAATGTGGTGAGCAGTTTTCCACAACTTTTGTTTTAATGAGTACATATGTAGCATAACATGCAACTGTTAAATGTGGTTCTTTTTCTCCATGTAGCATATGGTGTGCTTCAGATAACCGATGCAAACTATGGACGTACTAATAGACGTGACTGCTCTGGAAGGCGTCCAGTCCTTCCCCAAAACACAAACTGCATTTTCAACGCACTGGCTCCTGTTTCACAAAGGTATTGATTTGTGCAAACCACTTAATTTGTTCATTTTGAGTTCTAAATGGTTTCTCAATGCAGTGTTTTAACATCCCCTTTTGACCACCTTTTTCCTGCTATCACATATAGCTGCAATGGGCTGCGAAGTTGTGAGCTTTTTGCTACAACTGATATCTTCACTGATCCCTGCCCTGACATGCGCTCTTATCTTTCCGTCACCTACTACTGCCTCCCACCTGAAATCCGTGAGTATCCCCTTGTTTGCTACTCAAAGATCTGTTCATGCATTTAACTTCAGCTGAATCAAGTCAGTGGTGCTTCTCTGCAAGACCTTCATCTTTGATCTGCACTTCATTGTTTTAGAATCATCAATGGGCACTGAAGTATTGCAAATATTTTCTCATTAGATGATTGCTTTAAATTGAAGTGTTGTCTTGAGTTATTTGCTCAAATTTCAGGTGAAAGCCAGGTCTCCTTTAAATGGTGATGCTCGTGTGCTTCAATGTTTTGAACTTAAAAAAAAAAAATGTTTTTTTTTAAATGTACAGGTTCAAGTGTAGTCTGTGAAAATGCCATTGTTAACTTCAAATGTGGTATGTAGTTCCTTTTTATGCTTTTTAATCTAAACTATTGCAGAGTTTGGCCAATGGTAAATTATTAAACTTGTGAAACCTACCTTTCAGAGGATGGATCTCTCGTACACATCCATGCTGCTAACTACGGGCGGACTGACAGCAGCACATGTGCTGCTGGACGACCTGCTTCTCAAACTGCCAAAACCAACTGCTATGCCTCAAATTCGCAGACACTGGTTGCCAATGCGTCAGTATAGTTTTTACACTCAATTTAGTCCCGTTAATCCAATGGGTTCACTTAATTTTTTTTAATTTCTCTAGATGTGAAGGGAAGAACGTCTGTGCCATTTCAGCCTCCAATGGTGTCTTCTCAGATCCGTGTTATGGCACATACAAGTACCTGTACACTGCATACTCCTGCGTGCCTCAGTGTAAGTTAAGTTATTGTACAAATTAATCAATGGACAAAGTTTGTCCATCACTCTGTCTAATTTATGTATATGTATGTATAATTTTATTTTTATTTTTTCCCCTGCAGTTTATTGGAGCTAATCTTGTGGATCTGGATTTTACCATAAAATGGTAAAATACCAGTTTGCTAATCTGTATTCAGCCTTTTGTGCAGGTGTCTTGTACTGTTATCCTTATGCTCTGTTGGGAGGTTGTGTTCAATAAACGTTTTAAAAGAAATGAGGTGTTTGTCTGGTTCTTGGGAGTCCTGCTGCCTTTAACACCCTGTTTATCTGTAGCATAGTTTAAAAAGACCACTTGATTGATCTACAGAACTCATTTAATACAATGTCAGACCTAAATCATGAGCTGATGCAACACTGCCACTCCTGTCAGCTTAAACCACAAACTGGCCTTACAATTTGCAAAAGCTAAACAACTAGCGTTTGTCTGATCTGAATTGATTTATTAACTCGACTGCTCTTCTCTGCTGCCTCATTCAACGTCCTGCCGCTTTAAGGCCCACATAAATCAGATTTCACAAGAATGTGTAGTTTTATGGGTTGGTTAATGAGCATGTGTATCGTTCTAACACCTAAAAACTACTGTATTTGACATTAAAGCTAAATGAGTACAGTTCTGATCGTTATGTTAACATGATTTGCAATGTTGCATTCTATTGAAGAAACTTAAAGATGTAGGAATCATTTTCATCTGCACTTTTGTGTGGGAAAAACATTTCTTTTACCAATAATATCCATACCGATTCCAAAGACAGATGCGGATTAGATAAGGGACTGGTTAATATGTGTACTTTTGAGGGGTTTATAAATTGCTCACATGTTGATTGGTCAGGTTGTTTCAGCATTTGTGCTTTTAGTCACATGGTCAAGAGAAACTTTTGCTCTACCTCTTTCACTGCACATTTCAGGTATCCTTTTTAATAACGCTATCTTGTGAAAAGAAATAAATAAATATTCAGTTGTAACCATAAATTGTCATTTAAGTATTTTTGAATTACTTTTAAATATGCTTAATTGCACCATATTACAATACAATCACATAATAAAAGCTCTCCCACATTTTTAGCTATTAATGGTGCACTTATTTCTCTTTTTGGTATAAGATTGCAGAAGGATGATTTGACATCGTACTAGTAACATTTAAGTCATTCGGCAGGATTACCAAATTCAATTAAAAGGAATAAAACAACAGGCTGAAATTATTTTATTCATTTTTTTATTCTGGCCAGAAAGTGACCACATTGTCTCTGCTTTAGAATTAGAATCTGTTATAACCTTTTAATAAACAACTGTTTACAAAATTAAATGACTGGACTAAAATCATAGCGTACTGTCATTGGTGTAATGATCAACAGGCCTACATGTTAGCCTACTTGAATAATGAAGCTATTTATTGGCAACATCTTTTGTGTATTGTCTATTGTTTACACAACTAAAACTTACATTTGCTGTTCAAGACTTCATTGTTAATTTTCATGGGCAAAGTTTATGATTTAAACACACATAATGGTAAGGGAGAGGTGAAAGTATCAACGTAAACGCTAATAAAACGATAAACCCAAAATAAATTGCGGCCACTCAGAGAAGAGTAACACGCGACCAAAACTATATGATATAAAAAAAACTACACTTAAGACAGTGTGGAGCACAGCTGTGGCTCATTGTCACTCACACCACTCGCCTATAAATATAATTCAGTAACAGCTCTTTGTAACATTGATGCACAGTTATGTTTTCTCTCAGATGTAAGATTTCATAATTTTTTAATGCGGATGCACCATGCAAGTTTGTGTTTTGCTGGTTTGACACATGATCTGTACAATTATGTGGCCTACTGTACAGATCGGTGACTGGTCTTTGCTGGTTAAAATCTAATTTTAACAGGATCAAAATTCACCTCATGTTAGCGTTTATTTTCTGCTCTTTCTTTCAGTGCTTATGGGCTGTAGCCTAACTGAAGGTGTTGCATTAGTCCCTCCAAATGCTGATGTGTTGCTGTTAACTAGTAAGTTTGTTGTTGTTGCCATTTGCCGCAAAAAGTGATAACGTGTTCTTAGACTTTATAGCACTCAGCTGAATGAGTAAATTCAAGTGCTTGAGACTAGATGGTGAATGAAGTGGTTCTCCTGTAACTTCTGTGTAAATGTGTAACCTTCTCTAACTTTCAGAAACTGTAGTGATTTGTAATGGTGAACGTACGGTCTTGAAGTGATGTGAGCACTTTTTACATTTCTAGTTTCAATGTGTAAATGTATAAGATCACATGGATTAATTTATAAAAGTCTGGTGTTTCTCCATGTAGCATATGGTGTGCTTCAGATGACCGCTGCAAACTATATACGTACTAATAGAGGCGACTGCTCTGGAAGGCGTCCAATCTTCCCCAAAACACCAACTGCAACTTTAATGCACTGGCTCCTGTTTCACAAAGGTATTGATTTGTCCAAACTGCTTTAGAATTTGTTAATTTCACCAATTATACTCTTGTTCCTCACACCATGGCACGTAATGAGGACCTATCACAAATTTTAAATAACTTCTCAAGGCAGTGTTTAAACAATTATTCCTGCCATCAAATGTAGCTGCAATGGGCTGCTAAATTGTAAGCTTTTTGCTAAAACTGCAATTTTCACTAATCTCTGCCCTGGCATGAGCTCATATCTTTCAGTTACTTTCTACTGATTTCCACCTTTGATCCGTGAGTATCCTCCTGTTTGCTGCCTTAAGTTTTTATGCATTTAACTTTAATTGAATACTGTGCTAGACCTCCTCCTGGAGGTACACTTAATCATTTTAAACTATCCATGAACACCTTAAAGGAGTTTTGACAGTTAGTTAGTTAGTTAGTTAGTTAGTTAGTTAGTTAGTTAGTTAGTTAGTTAGTTAGTTAGTTTAGTTTATATAGCACATTTTTTACAACACAATGTTGCCCAAAATGCTGAACACAATTAATACTAAATAAAACCTACATCACATACATGACAATTAAAGCATAAGGCAAACCCTTCATCATTAAAAAGGCTCAAATGCTAAAGAACAAAGATGGAGTTTGAAACGCTTTTTAAAAACAGATTGAGTTGGAGCATGTCTGATGTGGGGCGGAAGCCTGTTCCAGAGTTTTGGGTTGATAACAGCAAAACCCCGATCCCCATTCTCTATCACCAGGGCCCGGTTTTTCAAAAGTAATCCACTAGGATTTTGGATAAGGGATTGGATCAAATCTTGAAAATGGGTTTTTTAAAAGAAAAAAAACGGATAACCTAATCGGATTAGATCACGTAATCTAATCTTGGTTTTGATCCGGATCAAACCTTTACTTTGGGTTTTTCAGACCTTTTTTGTAGGATTTGGATCACTTTGATTAATTTATAAAAAATTTAATACATTTTTTAAGTTTTCATTACATTTTGGGCATGAAATCCACTTTAAATCCACCCTTCTGATGGGATCAGTTTAATCCAGGTTTTTTGGATCAAAGTGATCCAAATCCTACAAAAAGGTCTGAAAAACTCAAAGTAAAGGTTTGATCCGGATCAAAACCAAGATTAGATTACGTAATCTAATACGATTAGGTTATTCGTTTTTTTCTTTTGGAAAAACCCATTTTCAAAATTTGATCCAATCCCTTATCAAAAATCCTAGTGGATTACTTTTGAAAAACCGGGCCCAGGACCTTGGTAAAAAAAGACTAAATTAATCAGAAAACCTCAATGAGCTACCAAGGTTGACCACATGTAGGAGGTCTGATAATTAAGGTGGTGCCAGATCATTTAAGGATATAAAAACCAAATTAATAGTTTCAAATCAATCCGTGACCTAACAAGCAGCCAGCCCAGAAAGGAAAGAACTGGGGATATGTGCTCATACATGCGAGTCCCTGTCAGAAGTCTCGCAGCTGCATTTTTGTGCTAATTGCAGTCTATTTAGGGCATTTTGACTAATACCCACATTTGGAGAATTGCAATAGTCAAGTCTTCCCAAAATAAAAGCATGGATCACCTTCTCAAGGTCATTGAGAGAAATGACTTCACTTTTGACAAAAGTCTTAGATCACAGGTGTCAAACTCGGTTCCAAAAGGGCTGCAGCTCTGCAGAGTTTAGTTCCAACCCTAATTAAACAAACCTGATCAAACTAATTGAGTCCTTCAGGCTTGTTAAAAACCTACTGGTAAGTGTGTTGGAGCAGGGTTGGAACTAAACTGTGCAGGGCTTCGGCCCTCCAGGAATTGAGTTTGACACCCGTCTTAGATGGTAAAAACTGGATTTAACAACTGAACTTACTTTGTTAAATTTCAGATCACTACCGAAATAAAAGCTTAGGTTTCTAACAACAGGTTTTTGATAAGTTGATAGCTCACGAATACCTAATAAATGCAGCTAAATTTAGGTGCAGTCTTGAGTTATTTGCAATATCAAGATGTTGGGTGAAAACCAGGCTCCACTTAATTTGTTTTAATAAAGGGTGATGCACATGTGCCTGCTTCAGTGTTCTGAATGTACTTTCTTGACTTTTCCTAAAGGTTCAAGTGCAGTTTGTGAAAATGCCAATGCTAACCTGAAATGTAGTGTGTAGTTGCTTTATATTTTTGGATTTTAGTCTCCACTAATTGCAAAGTTAACCAATGGTAAACTTAATTTTTAGAGGATGGATCTCTCCTAAACATTAACACTGCTAACTACGGGCGAACTGATAGCAGCACATGTTCTGCTGGATGACCTCCTTCTCAAGTTGCCAAAACTGACTGCTATCCCTTGATTTCAAAGTCAACGCTAGCTTATGGGTCAGTATAAAAGCATGGTTTAACTAGAATTAAGTCCAGTTTTAATTCTATGGGTTTCATTTAACTTCTTCTGTTTCTGTATATGTAATGGGAAGAACAGCTGCTCCATTTCAGCCTCCAATGGTGTTTTCTCAGGTCTGAGTGTCAACACATACAAGTTTCTGTACACCGCATACTCCTGTGTGCCTCAGTATAAGTTGTTGTACACATTAATTAATGGACTAGGGGTTAAGATATCACTCAAATATTTTTTTTCTTACATTTTGTAGAAGCTGATTTTGTGGATCTGGATTTTCAGCATCTCTGCATGACTGCATTAAGCGTTTAAGCATTTCTATATTGTTACAATTATTTATTTAATGTTAACATCTGTTATTTAGCATCTTATGGAAATTGTTTACCATGACATGGCATTACCATAGAATACTAGTTTGCTAATCTGTATTCAGCTACTGTGTGTCTTGTACTATCATCATTGTGCTCCACTGGGAGGTTATGTTCAAACTCCTAAAATAATAATAAAAAAATAAATAAAAAAATAAATAAATAAAAAAGAAATGAAGTGTTAATAAGGTTTTTAGTCTTGCTACCATACAAACCCCATTTATATAAATTAAAATAAAAACACTTGATGGTGTTACAATTTGCTCAAGCTGAATAAAACTCAAGTTAGTCTGGTCTGAATCATGATTCACTGAAATCTAATGCTCTTCTTTGCTGCCTCGTTTAATGTCCTGCTGCTATAATTTAAGACCCACGTAGAAATCAGATTTTACAAGAATGTGTAGTTTATAACCTGGTTAATGAAATCGGTTTGTGGTGATCTACTCCAACACCTCAAGCTGTATTGGATTGATATTTTTAAGTTAAATAAGTACAGTGAAAGTTATGTTAACATGATTTGAGCTTTGTTGCATTTCACTAAAGAAACTTTAGGGTCCCCCCCCCCCCTGAAAAATACTATATCTGTCTTGTTGTACATGGTCTTTTGTATGTCTGTTAAAACTAATACAACAAAAAAACTTTTTGTTGCCCTTTTTGGTGTTTCATCCTTTAATACACATAACTAATTACAAAATAAATGACCCAATGATTAACAGCCTACTGTTAATGAAGTAGTGATGAAAAGGCCTAAACTACCTACATTATTAGCTTACTTGAGTAGTGAAGCTATTTATTGGCAACATTTTTTGGGTGCAGGCAAAATGAAAGCCACATTAAAATATGCAAAAATGATGGATCTATTATTTTTATTCACGTCTAAAATTTACATGGCGATGCAAGCGCAGTAGGTAGTGCTGTCGCCTCACAGCAAAAAAGTCGCTGGTTTGAACCTCGGCTCAGTTGGCGTTTCTGTGTGGAGTTTGCATGTTCTCCCTGAGTTCGCGTGGGTTTCCTCTGTGTGCTCCATTTTCCCCTTACAGTCCAAAGACATGCGGTACAGGTGAATTGGGTAGGCTAAATTGCCTGTAGTGTATGAGTGTGTGTGTGGATGCTTGGAAACGTGCTGGATAAGTTGGCGGTTCATTCCGCTGTGGCGACCTCAGATTAATAAAGGGACTAAGCCGACAAGAAAATGAATGAATGAATAAAACTTACATTAAAAAAAAAGCTGTTCAAGACTTTTTTTGTTTTTAATCTTTATGGGCAGTTCATGATTTAAGCTCACACATAATGGGAAGGAAGACGGGAAAATGGTGAAAACTGGAGCACATGAAGGAAACCCACGCGAACATGGGGAGAACTACACAGAAATGGCAACTCACTTAGCCAGGGCTTAAACCAGCGACCTTCTTGCTGTGAGGCGATTGTGCTACCCACTGCACCGCTGTGCTGCCCAAAAGTAGCATATTAAGATGATTAACACAAAACAAAGTGGTAGCCATTCACAGAAGAGTGAAGTTGCGGTCACACTGGACTTTTTTTCCCCATAGACTTCCATTCCTACACATGCAAATGTTTTCGCAGTTCATTTTGTTGAAAAAAATCAAGCTTGGTGTACTCTAACCTGTATAATGATTGCATAAAACTAATCGAAGATCAAAACTCTCTGCCTCTCTGGACAGAAATTAAAAAAAACATGGACCAATTGCTCGCTTTTTCATATTCAATTATCTTGTTTAATCCTGCACCTTTTTGCAGCATTATACGACAGAATTTCACACGCACAAACACTAGTGTGACCGCAGCCTAACACACGACAAACACTAGTCTAAAATAAAATAAAAAAGCTATAGTGGTTAACCGTGGCATTACAAATATACATTTTTTTTCGGGTAGAAAGTGGCTGTTGCTTTAATTTATTGGTTTAACCTTAGCCTTTATTCTAAAACTAAAAAAATGTCCCAGGTTTGACTGACGGTGTGGTGCACAGCTGTTGCTCATTATCACTCACACCACCCGCCTATAAATATGAATCAGTAACAGCACCTTGTACTGTTGATGGTGATATCAGAACTATGGTTTCTCTCAGGGTCTTTCTCAGCTGTAAGTTTATTTATTATTTTGTCTTGTCAGATGTAGCATGTAAGGTTAATTTTTGTTGGTTTGAGCCACAGACAATTTGTCACCTTGGAATTATAAGGTTCTATTAGCTTTCTGAATGATTTTAAGATTGAGCTTAAAAGATTTTGCATTCCATAGCTAACAGTATGTGTGTAACATTTATTTTTTAAATAAATTCTTAAAGCAAACAACTTCTACAAAAAAAATCCCATAATGTAAATAAGTTGTCATTAAATAAGAATGTCTTACTCTATTTTGACTCATCTAGAACCTTGTATTTCTAAGATGGCTAATTACGTAGGCCTACTGTTTTAATCAGTGGCTTATACTGATCTTTGCTATTTTTACAGCATCAAAATTCACTTTGCCACTTCTGGGTTTTTGTGCCAATGTAAGTTTGTTTTCTTATTTTCTGCTCCCTTTCAGTGCTTATGGGCTGTAGCCTGTCTGCAGGTGTTACATTAAATCTAGCCCCTCTAGATGTTGACTTGTCACCACGAACTAGTAAGTGTACATTTTTATAGTCATTTGATTTAGAGCTTCAAGTGATTATCACTTAGTTCTGTGGTATTATCAATGACTGTATAAAGTAGGGTATTATAGCTCTTAGCTGAAATGGTAAGCGAAGTCAAGTGATTGCACACTAGAGACTATAGATAGTCAATGAACTTCTCCCGTCTGCAATTCAGAATTTTCTTCTGTGTAAACCTGTAACCTTTTGCTTCCAGAAAGGATAGAGATTTGTAATGGTGACCGTGCGGTATTGAAATGCGGTGAGCAGTTTTCCACAACCTTTGTTTTAATGTGTACGTATCTAACATCACATGAATTTATTAAATGTGTTTTTTTTTCTCCATGTAGCATATGGTGTGCTTCAGATAACCGCTGCAAACTATGGACGTACTAATAGACGTGACTGCTCTGGAAGTCGTCCAGTCCTTCCCCAAAACACAAACTGCATTTTCAACGCGCTGGCTCCTGTTTCACAAAGGTATTATGCAAACCGCTAAATTTCTACATTCTGACTGCTTCTACTCCTTGGTTCTTTATCTTGGTGGGTAAAGAGAAACCATTTAAGACTTGTGTAGGATTCTCAAGGCGTTGTTTTTAACACTCCTCTTTGTGCACCTTTTTCCTGCTATCACATGTAGCTGCAATGGGCTGCGAAGTTGTGAGCTTTTTGCTACAACTGATATCTTCACTGATCCCTGCCCTGACATGCGCTCTTATCTTTCCGTCACCTACTACTGCCTCCCACCTGAAATCCGTGAGTATCCTCCTGTTTGCTACTCCAAGATCTGTTCATGCATTTACTTCAGATGAATTAATTCAATGGTGCTTTCTTGGTAGTACACTTCAGAATTTTAAACTATCCATGAACTCAAAGGAGTATTGCAACCTCTGATCTCTATTTGAACTATTGCCTAGTTATTTGCTCTAACAAGATTTCAGGTGAAAGCAGGTCTATTTTAAATGGTGATGCACATTTGCCTGCTTCAGTGTTTTGAATGTTTCTTGACTTTAATCTTTTCTACAGGTTCAAGTGCAGTCTGTGAAAATGCCATTGCTAACTTCAAATGTGGTGTGTAATTTTTTTTTTTTTTTTTTGAATGCGCAAACACTATTGCAGAGTTTGGTAAATGGTAACTTTTATTGTGAAACCTACTTTTTCAGAGGATGGATCTCTCATACACATTCATGCTGCTAACTACGGGCGAACTGATAGCAGCACATGTGCTGCTGGACGACCTGCTTCCCAAACTGCCAAAACCAACTGCTATGCCTCAAATTCACAGACACTTGTTGCTAATGCGTCAGTATAAAAGCGTTATTTAACTAGATTTAAGTCCAGTTTTATTCTGTAAGTTTTAGAGTTTTTTTTTTTTTTTTTTTTTTTTCCTCTCCCCTTTTCCCCTCTCTGTGTAGGTGTGAAGGGAAGAACAGCTGCTCCATTTCAGCCTCCAACGGTGTCTTCTCAGATCCGTGTTATGGCACATACAAGTACCTGTACACCGCATACTCCTGCGTACCTCAGTGTAAGTTATTGTACAGATTAATGAATGGTGTATGTTTCTTATTGGTCTAAATGGTTCATTTTTTTTTTTTTTCTTGCAGTTTATTGGAGCTGATCTTGAAGATTTTTAGCACCTCTAAATAGCTGCATATAAGTGTCTAAGCATTTCTGTAACAATGGCTTAATTGTTAACCTAATTTTTGACATCTTAAGCAAAATGTTTACCATGAGATTGCATAACTGTATATCATTAGTTTACTAAGCTGTATTCAGCCTTTTGTGCAGGTGTCTTGTACGATTATCATCCTTATGCTCTGGGAAGTTGTGTTCAATAAACCCTTTTAAAAGAAATCATGTGTTGCTCTGGTTCTTGGAGTCATGCTCCCTTTTGCCTCATTTTTTCAGGGGTTCTTAAAGTAGATCCTGCAGATTTTTAGCTAACTTCCTATAACACTCATGCAAGGATGTTTATAGAAAGCGTAGTAGGCTTTTCTTTTTTTTTTTTTTTTTTTTTTTGTTACCCCAGGTGTGTCTGATTTTGGCTGGAGCTAAAATCTGCAGGTCTCTGTCCTTCAGCACAGAGATTAAGAACACTATGGTATGGCTCTTTTACAGAAGAGCGTATGTGATTTTAATGTCAGACCTAGATCATGAGCTGATGCAACACTACCATTTTTCTTTAAGCTTAAACAACAAACTGGTGTTACAATTTACGCAATTCTGTTTGTGGACTTAAGTTCTGCCTTAAACACCATTGCCCCATCACTGCTTCAGTACAAACTGACCCAGCTCTCTGTCCTAGCTGTCAATGAATCACCAGCTTTTTGACCGACATGCAACAGCTAGTCAGAAAGGGCAAAATCACATCTGACAGCTGCACCATCAGCAGTGGTACCCCTAGGTATGTATTCACTCCCTGCTGCTCTTCTCCCTGTACACCAACAATTTTACCGCAAAAGACCCCTACACCAAGCTCCTAAAGTTTGTAAAAGACACTACTATTATTGGCCTCATCTGGAACGGTGATGAGTCTGCATGCAGACAGGACGTGGAGCAGCTGGATTTATGGTGCAGATACAACCTGGAACTGAACATCCTCACAGTGGAGACGATAGTGGACTTTGGGAGAAACTCCACAGGGAGTACATTTGAAAGGTTTTAAAGGCTTCATATTGGTAATTCTCATGAGCAAAGTTTGAGTTACACACAATGTAGGAAGTATGAGGGGAAACTGCTAAAAGTAACATATTAAACTTTAACAAAGCAAAGTGCTGCCACTCACAGAATGGTAAAGCTGCGGTCACACTGCACTTTTCTTCTCATAGACTTCGATTCATATGAATGCCTCAGACTGGAAATGCAAGCTTGTGCAACAAATTTCACAGGTTGCTGCGTGGGAAATTTCAAACTTGGTCAACTCTGACAAGTGAAATTGCAACATTTGACTGCATGAGACCAATTGAGGTTAAAAACATGACCTATCTGAACAGGAATTTAAAATATGGATTCGTCGCTTGCTTTTTAAAATGTCTAATCATCTTGTTTAATTCTGCCTCTTTTCGCTGTGCCGTACAACAGAATTTCGCAAGCTCAAACTCTAGTGTGTCCGCAGCTTGACACGATCACAACTAGACCAAAAAAGTCCATTGTTTAAAACTGCGGCCACATTAGAGTTTGAGCATGCGATATTCTGTCATGCGGCGCTGCGAAAAGGGGCGGGATTAAACAAGCTTAATAGACATTAAAAAAAAGCAAGAGATTGTTCCATGTTTTAAATTTCTGTCCAGAGAGGCCATGTATTGATCCTCGCCTGGTCTCACGCAGTCAAGTCATGCGTTTTTTCAGGTCAGAGTTCACTAAGCTTGAACTTTGCACTGCAGTAACCCGCGAAACTTGACACATGACCCCGCGTTTCCGATCAGACGCACTCGTGTGCGTATGAATGGAAGTCTATGGGAGGAAAAGCCCAGCTGTGGTCACACTAGAGTTTGTGCGTGCAAAAAGAGGCGGGATTAAACATAATTAGACAATTCAAGACATTAAAAAGGCAAGCGATGGGTGACGCAGTGGTGCAGTATGCGTTCGCATGGGTTTCCTCCAGGTACTCTGGTTTCCCCCACAGTCCAAAGACATGCGGTACAGGTGAATTGGATAGGCTAAATTGTCCGTAGTGTATGTGTGTGTGTGTGTGGATGTTTCCCAGAGATGGGTTGCGGCTGGAAGAGCATCCGCTGGGTAAAAACATGCTGGATAGTTGTGCTGTGGTGACCACGGATTAATAAAGAGACTAAGTCGACAAGAAAATTAATGAATAAAAACGAGCAATTGCTCCATGATTTAAATTTCTATGTCTTAAAGCTGCGGTAACACTGGGCTTTTCCTTCCATAAACTTTCATTCATACGCACGTGAATGCATCAGAACGGAAACGCAGGGTCATGCGTTGTGTCGCAGGTTGCTGCGGTGCAAAGTTCAAGCTTGTTGAACTCTGACCTGTGAAATCGCATCACTTGACTGCGCGAGACCAATCGAGGATCAAAACACGACCTCTCTGGACAGAAATTTAAAATATGGAGCATATGGAGCTCGCTTTTTATTGTCTAATCATGTTGTTTAAATTCCACCACTTTTCGCAGCGCCGCACGACCAAATTTTGCACACACAAACTCTCCCAGCCGGCACACGACCGACCTTCAACGTTGAAATATGGTTGAAATAAGGTCAGATGTGTTTTAAACGTTAAAATAATGTTGATAGAACGTTTAATGTTAAACGGTTGAAAAACAGCCTGCATATGACAAGGCTTCAACGTTGAAATGTGGTTGAAAATACGTCAGTTGTTGCTTTAATGTTGAAACTATGTTGAATGATAAATGGTTGAAAAAAGTTACAGAAATCCTTATACAAATCAACGTTGACATTTTTTTATCATGATCTGTATGTTGAATTAACGTCATGGCTTCACCCAATATTCAACATGTTTGGTTACCATGGTATCATCGGAGGACTCGGCGCACGCGGCCACGCGCAGCGCTTCACTTAATTACGAACACCTGACCTGCAGTGTAGCAGAATTCAGAGGTAAGCGTGTTTTTTGATTCTTTAATCTTTTATTTACCCCCGATTTTGTTTTACACACAGTTTATCTTAGACGTGACTTTTGAGGTGTAGTATTTCGAATTTTGAAGCTTTTAAAACTTTCCAGTTTGGTTTTAGTCTTGTTTGCGCTTCTGTGACGCAGCAGCTAACCTCGACCCTGCTGAAAAATCCAGCTTATACCAGCCTAGGCTGGTTAGCTGGTTTTAGCTGGTCAATCAGGCTGGTTTTAGAGGGGTTTTGACCACTTCCAGGCTGGTTTCCAGCCATTTCCAGCCTGGTCTTAGCTGGTTAGGCTGGAAGATGACCAGCTAAAACCAGCTTGACCACCCTTACCAGGCTGGGAGCCCAGCCAAAACCAGCTATGTCCAGCGTAAACCAGGCTGGTCAAGCTGGTTTTAGTTGGATTTAGCTGGTCATTTTCCAGCCTGACCAGCTAAGACCAGGCTGGAAATGGCTGGAAACCAGCCTGGAAATGGCCAAAACCCCTCTAAAACCAGCCTGGTCGACCAGCTAAAACCAGCCAACCAGCCTAGGCTGGTTTAAGCTGGATTTTTTAGCAGGGGAGGTAATGTCACATGTTTAACGTTAGTCTAAATGAGCGTTTTTATGGCAAATTCAAAGCGATAAACTCCAAACGCAGTTTAAAGTTACTGAGCAACGTTATAAAACAATATCTTTTTTATATACGCTGTATAATTAGTGTTATTATTACAAAGTGAACTGCTGTCGTTTCACTGTTGTTGTTGTTTTTGCTTTTAGAGATGTAACTTACTCCAGAGACGCACTAACTTGCACAGCATTGAATGGAAAAGGCTTTGTCCATCTGTTAAATGTTCTTGGTGCTTTGGTTGGTGATATTCTCTTTCTAATCTGTTTGTTTATTGATTGTTAGGCTATGTTGTGATATTATATTGTTATATTGATATTATTATTGTGATATGTTGTGATGTTATACTATGTGACAGTATTTGGGAACAAATATGTATTTAGTGAGAAATTAATGCTTAAATTACACTTTGTATAGTAGCAGATAAGTGGTGTAATGGGTTTTAACTTTCTGGGTTTTCTGGAAGGTCCAGTTGAGGGCATCAAGAACACGCAGATGGCCTAAACCTGTGTCAGTCTGGACAGACTGCAGATCTGCTACTCAACGCCAAGGCTTTTGTATGGATGTCTGACTACTACTGTGTTCTCTAAAGGTATTACTGGAGCAAAACAACAGCACCTGTTACAGTAAAATTTGTATTCATAAAAATAGTGATACATGTGTAGCAGGTCCAGTACATGTGATGTCATTGAGAAGTTGTTTTATTAAATGTCATTAAAACAAATAAATAAACAAGCTATTAAATAAATCTAAATATTAAAAACTTGAGGATTAAGATGAGAAATGAAATGCATCATCTGTCTTGCGAAAAGGGTCTATTTGAGAATATTGGTGTTTTCCAACTGAAAGGGATAGTTCTCCCAAGAATGAAAATTTACTCACATTGTACTCCCCAAGTGGTTTAAAACCATGATGAGTTTATTCTGTTGAACACAAAAGAGGCTATTCTGAAAAAAAAAACTAAAAACCTGTAAACATTGACCTCCATAGTAGAAAACAATACTATAGAAGTCAATGGTTATAGATTTCCAGCTTTCTTCAAAATATCTTCTTTTGTGTTCAACGTGGTCGGTAAATGACGACAGAATACAAATTTTGAACTATCCCTTTAATTCTCTGTCCTACATGATTCTTTTCTGCAGCCTTTGTTAAAAAAAAAAAAAAAAAAAAAAAGTTTTTTTTTCGAGAATCTGAAATTTGAATTCTGGAAAATGCTGGTACCGGTGGTGGCGAAGCGCTTCCTGACGACATCACACCTAATTCTTCACTTCTCTTAGTTAGGAATATTCAGATGGATGAGTCAAAATTATTGAGTGTGATGATATTATAGGACAAATTTGGACTCAATAAAAAATAAATATTTGAATTTCACTTTGTATAATAGCAGATACCAACTTATTTGTAACCTAGTATTTCATTTATTGCAGGTTTTCTGGAAGCTCCAGTTGAGGGCTTCAAGGACAAACCGATGGCCTAAACAAGTGTCAGCCTGGACAGACATCTATTGCAGTTCTGCTACACAAGACCAAACTCTCTGCTTTTGTATGGATGTCTGACTAGTACGGTGTTCTCTGGAGGTATTACTGGAGCAAAACAACAGCATCCGTTACAGTGAAATTTGTGTTCATAAAAGATAGTGATATGTG